CCCACCTCCCTCCCTCTCTGACCCCCCTCTCTCCCCCACCCTCTCCCCACCCCACCCCGGCCCTCTCTTCCAGAGCAAACTTCCCCTTATCTGCCCCAGCACTCACCCCTTCAACCCAATGCCCCCATTCATGCTTCTGATTCCAGCCTAATCGCTGCTTTCTCAGGAAGACCTTCCTTCTTGCCTGTGCCCACCCCTGCCCCCCGCCCCGCACACACAGGAGATGTCTGGTATTATCCCCCCTCTGACCTTCCTGTACCATTTTCTTCATAGCTGTTAATAAGTTTGGAATTATTCACTTATTTGTGGAGTTAATTGATTAACATTTATCTCTCCCACTAGGCTAGTAATTCCCAAAGCCCGATCTGGCCCAGCCTTCTGAGCGGGGTAATGCTTTACCCTGGGGCATTGTCTGTGAACTGCAGGAGGGCCGGGCCCCACCTACCAAATGCCTGTGGCACTCCAGCCCTTGTGACAGCAGGGAAAGCCCTTCCCCACGGCCCAGGAGCCCGACCCCCAGCCTCCTGCCCCAGTAGGTAAGAGCAGAGTGGACAAGAATGTGTCTGGGCTCGCCCTGCCCCTGTGGATGGCCCAGTACACAGTGGATGCCCTGAAAACACGTATGGGTGAGCGCGCGGAGCTCCAGTCTGCGGGTTCTGGAACAAGCCATGGTGACCGCCACGGCAGGTGCTAATAAGGGGTTTGCAGCTGGGGTCCAAGAGGTCATCTGACCTACGGCGGGACTTGACAGTGAGCCCCTGGAGACTGTCACCTCATGGTGCATGCCCAGAGCTCAGGCAGGCCAACAGTCAGCCCCTCCCCCCTCGTCATCTCACCATCTATGGTGCTTGGGGCACAGGGTGACAAGGTCAATCCTCACTTGACCATGAGCCCAGGAGAAGCTGCTGCTACCTTTTCTCTGCTTGTCAGGATCTCTGCCTTCTCCCTACCTGCTGCCAAACTTCCACATAGGCCTGCCCAGCGAACTGACTGCCAGGAAGAACCAAGCTCACATGCGCATGTCAGGCCATCCGCAAGAGCTGGCATGGCAGGGGATGGGTACTGCCAGGGATCCAGGCCCCCATGCTCGGACTCCTGCTGCCCGGCTCTTCCCCTGGCTCTCGGCTTTGTGTTTCCTCTCAAGGGATGAGCCTCTTTCCCCACCATTCAAATTCCAATCACTTCCACCAGATCTGGTGAACTTACACCGAGTCAGCAGAATTCACACTGGGCTTCATGTTCCATGCATGCGACAGACATCTGTCAGGCCCTCACTTTGTGTCGTCGGGACCACCCCAGCAAGGACCCCCCCCATGTCCCCCCTTGCTGCCGTCTCCCACCATGCATGTGCGTATGGCCCAGATAGTGTCTCCTTTATGCTCACTCACTCCATCAGTGTAACGGGCTTGCTTTGGGGCGCCTGGGGGTCGCAGTCCATTAAGCGTCCGACTCTTGATTTCAGCTCAGGTCATGATCTCAGGGTCGTGGGATCGAGCCCCAAGTCAGGCTCCACACTCAGCATAGAGTTGGCTTGTCCCTCTCTGTCTGCCCCTCCCCCTGCTCATACTTGCTCTCTCTCTCTCTCTCCAAAACAAATAAATAAAATCTTTAAAAAAAAAAAAAAAAAAAAAGACTGCTTCGCACCTGTTCTGCACTGGGACAATGCTTGGCCCTGGTCACATGGTAACTATTAATTCCACATGTCCCTCGCCACAAGGAGGTCACTTCTGAGCCTGTTTCCCTCCTCATCTGCCTGCTTTCTTTAATCCCTAAGCCCTTTCTCTGTGCCAAGCACTCTGCCGAGTTCTGGAGACACTTCTGCGTTGGGAAGACTTTCTACAGCTGAGACCATCAGAGGACGAGTCAGAGGGTTCAAATGGAAAACAAGGGTGTAAAGTCCAGACAAGATGCCACAGACGCTGGAAGCGGAAGAGGCTAGCGTGGGGAGAGCAGTACCCTAGAGACTGCAGGAGGGATTAGCATCATATCCGCCCTTAAAGGATGGACAATAATCACAATGGTAGCTAATACCGACTGAGCCCTAACAATGTTCTGATCAACATATAGGGACTGTCTTCCTAATCCTCACAATCACCCCACCACAGTTGTTACCCTTGCTCTCATTTTACAGACGAAGAAACTGAGACACACAGAAGTCATTGGCTTCAGGTTGGGCAGGTTGTAAACAGTCAAGCCAGGACATGAAGCCACATAGTGTGGCCTCCCACAGTGCTCTTCAACAGCACCACAGGACTCGGGTGTATGAGCTATCTATGGCTGTGTAACAAATGTCCCCATATTTAGCAGCCTGACACGACATCAGTTTGTCGTCCTGCGGTTCCTGTGGGTCAGGAATCTGGGAGCGGCTTAGCTGGCTCCCCTGGCTGCCGGCCTCCCTGGAGCTGCAATCAAGATGAGAGCCTGTGCTGGGGTGCCTGGCTGGCTCAACCAGCTAAGTGTCCGACTCACAGGCTCAGGTCGTGATCTTGGGGTCATGAGACCCAGCCCCCCCACCGGGCTCCCCGCTGAGCACAGAGTCTTCTTCAGATTCCCTCTCTCCCTCTCCCTCTGCCCCTCCCACTCAATCTCTCTCTCCTCCCTTCTCTCTAAATTAAGTAAATAAATCTTAAAAAAAAAAGAAAAGATGAGAGCCCGCATCCCCTCTGGGGGAGACTGGGGAAAAACTGAGTTCCCAGCTCACTCTCGTGGCAGCTGGCTGCAGCTGGAGACCTCACTTCCTTGCCTCATGGGCCTCCCCATGGGGCAGCTCACACTGCAACAGCCTCTCCGCTCAGAGCGAGGGAGCAGAAAAGAGGGGCAACAGAACAGAGGTCCCAGGAGTCCAGTTACGGAAGTGATGTCTCATCACTTTTGCTGATGTCTGTTGTCTGTTCATGAGAGGCAAGTGGCCAGGGTCCAGCCCACACCCCAGGGAAGCCTATGGCACGAGGACATGGACACCGGAAGTGGGGGCTGTGAGCCACCTCCCAGGCTGCCCGCCATGTTGGGCTAGTAGAGGAGACGGGCATCCATGAGCAATGTGAGGCATAAGCTCATTACCTGTCCTTTGGTTCCTCACCCCAGAAATCCTAACTATGTGTTCTTAAGTAAGAATAATAGCCTCAAAGTGAGCTAAAACTTGATCCCCAGCCTGAGAGAATTCTTCCTCCTGTTCTTCCCAGAAACTAAGTGCCAAAGAAGACGAGCACTTCTTAAAGATCAGCAGCGCGCTTGGCTATGTAAGGAAACACAAGTGTATTTCGCTGGCATTGGGCTAAAAACTTGGCAGCAGCTTTCACTCCCACCCCCTCGCCATACGACTTCAGTTGGTCCCCCTAGAGTGCTTCTTTCTTCATCTTTTTCTAATGAAGAGACACCTCAGTGGATCCAGGGCTAGAGCTTCTCCTTCAATCACTTCCAAGCATCGCCCTCAGTGTCACCTTCTTAGAGCCCCGATGCATACAGGCCCTGTCACCACTCAAAGACCATCTGTGGCCCCAAACTTGGGTCTGGAGTTCAAGACCTTCAATTCTGCAGCCCCAACCTGCTCCCCACACAACTCCTTTGCTTGGGTTACGCTGGCCCACACGCCTTGAATCTTCCTGCTCCCGTGCCTCTGCTCACCCCACTTCCTAACCCTTGCATGTTTTTCCTGCTCCTCTTCACCTGCTCAAATCCCGGCCACCCTTCAAGGTCAAGTTCATGCCCCATCTTCTCAACGAACCTCTCCAAGACCACTCCAGCCATCCGAGGCTGGACTTGGTGGGAGGCAGCGTGTGTTCAACGGGATCAGCTAAATAAAAATACTCATCAAAGCAAGCAAACCACTCCAGGAAAGTGTCTGAGTTTTCCTCCCTAAACCTACAGCCCTGTCCTCATCATCACTACCTGCTTACTCCCTCTGGGTCAGCCTGGACTCACCCGTCCGGCTCACCTGGGCAACGGTCCCCAGCATCCTTCTGTACGACCACTGGCTACTACTCAACCCCATGTCGTAGGAGACGGCTTTCTCCGGGCCCCGCATATCTCCTGCTGCCTAGACATTCCCAGTTACACTGAGCGCTTCCATGCGGGGCTGCGTCTGATTCATCCCTGAATCCAGAGCAGAGCGGAGACACGGTAAATACTGTCAGGAACGAGTAAGAAGGTGAAACCCTGCATTGATTGGACTCCCTGGTTAAAGACCCACCAAAGATGCTTTATTCTCTTTCTTTAGTGCTCAGAAATACAAAGACACCTTTCCACTTAGAAATCTAACAACATAAACTCAGTCCTATCCTGACAGGGAGGAAAGCATGGGGGTGCCAGAGGTTCCCAGCGCACCACTGCTTGACCTGATGGAGCTGCCAAGACATGGTAGCTGGGTGCCTGAGGCCCTGTTTTCCAACAGTCCGGGTGACACGGGCAGGCAGCAGAGGCAGGTGCAGACAGGACAGGCTGACGCGAAACAGGCTTGTGGTGCACGTCGTGCGTGTCGGGAGCACCCACACTCCCCGAGTCGGCGTGGCCCCCGAGTCCTCCTGGTAACGCCTCCCGCTGCCGGGCCGTGGTACACGACACCCACGTTACTCACTGCACATTCACTCCTGAACTTTATATTCTGCTGTTCTCTTTTCGCACATTGTTCAGAAATAAATGCTGGTGCCCACATTACATTTTGCTTTTAAATAGCCTGCCACAGAGGAGACTTGCCCAGCGCTCTCCGAGCCACGCCGGATGGGGTCCAGGCCCTCTGCATGGAAGGCAGAAGTTCGAGCTGGTGCAAGGTCACAGGTAAGTCGCGTGGAGGCCTGCCCTTGCTCCTGGCACGGCCATCACCAACCAGGGGACTTGAAAGGAGTCTCTTAACTGTTCTCGACTAAGGCCGGCTTTTCTAAAAAGCACCTATGTCAGACTTTTTGGTCTTGGGACCACTTCATACTCCTAAAAATTACTGAGCATCCCTAGGGATCTGGCGTTCGTGTGAGCTATATTTGTGAAGCGATTTACTGTACTAGAAATTAAAACTGAGACAATCTTTTTAATATTTTTCAATTTGTATCAAAAATCACAATACAGATTCATTACATATTGGCATACATTTCTCATTTTAAGAAAAATAACTGTATTTTCCAAAGCCAAAATAACAGTGAGCAGAATGGCAACCGTTTATATTTTCCCAGGCTCCCTAAAGGTCTGAATTAGCAGAAGACCACTGGATCCTCACATCTGCTTCTGCTTTCAATCTGTGCGTTCTGTTGTTTTAGTTGAGGTATGTGAAGAAAATTCAGCCTCAAAAATGTAGTTGGAAAAGAGAGAACAGCTTGGTAATAGGCTTTTCAGAACCCTGTGACCGTTCTTCTTTGATATTACACCAAAACTCAACAAATGGTACTCTCTTAAAGGTTAGTTGCAGTGTAGAACCTGAAACCATATCGATTAATTTTGCAAACACTGTCACATTGAAACCCACTATCATGCACTTTGAACATTGTTTTTTACCTCTTCATGAATTTGCAACATCATGCATTGGTCATCTGGAAAATATTGATTCACTGAGCTGTGCAGATCTAATGATATGTTGACATATTTCATTAAACAACCTCCAGAAATCATAGCATTAACATAACTGCTAACCTCATCAGAAAAGTCGGAATCAGGAAGCTATCAAGTTCACAGGAGTGGATACAAGTTTTCTAAAATTCTAATTTTCACTTGGAAGTTTCAATTTTACAATTGGCAACAAATATTGTCAGTTATTTTTCTTGAAGAAACAGGCTCGCTTCATTCATTTTCAAGAAAATGTCTGCGAAACACCCAGGTCTGAATCACCTAGTTTGTCTGTCAATTGTCCTTCCATAAACACCACGCCGCATGGAAAGCCTCGATGAGAAACCCAGCTCCTTGACAATGACCAGCAACATCCAGTCACGTGAGCCGAACTTAATTCGTACCTCAGAAGCAATTGCACTTAGCGAAGAAAAAATGTTTTTTTACAGTGTTCGCAAACATTTCTGTTAATGTATCCAATGAATCAATGGTGATCTTAAAAGAAATGTTACAATTTTTTATGGAATCAAGAAGCAACGAAACCATTTTGATCATTTAATTCTTCATTTAGTGATATTTTTAAAAGTCAATATAATGCTTCCTTCACCCTTGTTTTTGTTCTGTCTGAGGTGTGGGAGAACGGCGAGGGGGTTACATGTGGCCACAGACCCTGGTGCCAGACTGCCGGCGTTGGAATCCTGGCTCTCTCGCTGCTTAGCCACGTGAGTAGGACAATTTTCAATGGCTCTCGCCTCAGTTTCCCCATCTGTGTAATGGGGTAATAATAAAGCACCTGCTGGGTGGTGTTGCTGTGAGGACCAAGCGAGCTCTTGACAACGATGCTGTCTCTAGAGGCATGTTACCACCCATGCAGGCAGGCTGTAGCCCAGGGCCCTGCACTTGGTGGGAAAGCCTCCACGGTGGACTGGCTTTCCCACCATCCCCCACCAAGGCAGCAAGGCCCCTGTCTCAGGTGACAGCATGTCCAGCAATCTAGAAGAGTTCAACAACAGACAGCCCCCCTGGCTCTCTCCTCAGCCCAGCAACAGGCCCCGATACCCGAGCCCTTCGGTCTGGAAGCCTGACGGGGCCGGGAGAAGGTGGCAGTAGAGGGGAGCCCAGGACCTTGTGATCCAGATGATCTGCCATCATCACCCTCCAACATGGGCACCTGTGACGGGACAGGCTCTGGTCCAGCGGCGGAGCAGGAAGCAGGGATGACCTGGGGGGAGCTGTGTGGGAGCTCCCACCACAGGAGGCACAGCCTCCAGGCGCGGAAGGTGGCGCACCAGCCCCCCCACCCCAGCCCAGGGAGGGTCTCCTTACATGGGAGCAGTAAGGGACTCCCCCCTGGGTGGGGACCCACTGCAGAGCAGGGGCAAACCCCACACCACGAGGAACAGGCCTCGAGGGAAAGGGCAGCGGGTAGAGGATAGGCTGATGGCCACTTAACCGTAGACTCTCGGCGAGGAGTGGAGTCAGCCCAGGTGACCCAAACAGGAAGTACCTGCAAAACAGGTAATAACATCTAGAACCACAACACACAGCATGCACGTGAATGTGGGGTCTGGGCAGTCAGGCATAGCCACGCAGTCGCTCACTCCCTGTCCAGGAGGCCCTTCAGGTGTGCTCTTACCTGATTCCTGTCCTACCCACGGTTTCATTCACAAGGAACTTTGGTGATCCTCAATTTGCAGTAACCTCAGACCCCATCTGAATTTCTTTCACAGAGATCTTTGTCAATAAGGCCTTACAGTTGTTTTCCCACCAAACAGGAGAGAATATTGCAAGTCATATCTCTGATAAGGGGCTAATATCCAAAATATATAAAGAACTCATGTAACTCAATAGCAAAAATAAACAGAAAAACAAAACAAAAGGAAGAGAAAAAAGAAAAAATCCAGTTAAAAATGGGCAGAACTGAATAAACATTTTTCCAAAGAAGACCTACAGATGGCCAACAGGTACCCAGAAAGATGCTCAACATCACTCATCATCAGGGAAATACAAATCAAAACCACAATAAGGCATTACCTCACACCTGTTTGAGTGGCTATTATCAAAAAAACTAGAAATAACAAGTGTTGGCAAGGATATGGTGAAAAGGGCATCTTGTGCACTGTTGGTGGGAATAAAAACAGGTGTGGTCACTGTGGAAAACAGTATGGAGGTCTCTCAAAAAATTAAAATTAGAGGGGCACCTGGGTGGCTCAGTCATTAGGCATCTGCGTTCGGCTTGGGTACATGTGGCCACGGACCCTGGAGCCCCACATCGGTCTCCTTACTGAGCGGGGAGTCTGCTTCTCCCTTTCCCACTCCCCCTGCTTGTGTTCCTGCTCTCACTATCTCTCTCTGTCAAATAAATAAAATCTTTAAAAAAAAAATTAAAATTAGAGCTGCCCTATAATCTGGCAAATCCATTTCTTTGTATTCATCCAAAGAAAACGAAAACACTAACTTAAAAACATGTACCCCCATATTCTTTGCAGCATTATTTACAATTGCCAAGACATGGAAACAAACCTAAGTGTCCACCCATGGATGAATGGGTAAAGAAATTGTGGTATACCCATGTAGTGGGATGTTATTCGGCCATAAAAAAGAATGAAATCTTGCCATTTGCCCCATGAAGGGACCTCAAGGGCATTACGCTAAGTGTAACAAGTCAGACAGAGAAAGATAAATGATCTCTCTTACAGGTGGAATCTTAGAAAAAAATTAATTAAAAAAAACCTGCACTCACAGATAACCAAGCTCATAGAGTACAGATTAGCAGTTGCCCCAGGTGGGGGATAGGAAGTAGGAAAATTGGGTGAACTGTTTTGGTATTTCATTTGCTTGTTTTAATAAATGGAGAGGGAAAAATAAAAGAGCCCTCCCCTTGAGAATCTGACATTATAGCTGGGAGAGGCAGATAATGAACAATAAACAGAATAGTAAGTAATTATGTAATATGTTTGAAAGTGCCATAAAAATCTATAAACACAGCCACAAACATGAAGAGTTTGCAGTTTTAAATGTGGGTAGGCTTTACTGAGAAAATGACATTTAGACAAAGATGTGAAGGAGGTGAGGTAGTTGTCTGTGTGAATATCTGGGGGAAGAAGTTTCCAGATGGAGAAATGGCCTGAGCCAAAGCCCATGGTGGACGTTCATCTGAGCAGAGGAAGAGCAGAGAGGTCAGTGTGCCTGGAACTGAGTTAGCAATGGGGAGAGGGCAGGGGGTGACATGGTGCCCAGGCCGTGTGGGGCCTTGCAGGACATTATAAGGGCTTCACCTTCCGTCACAGATGAGTGAGACGGGAGGGCAGGGACTTCGGAAGGTCTCAAGCCCAGGAGTTGTAATAGGATGATCTGAGGGCCATCACTGAAATAGCCAAGCCCAGAGGCAGGAAGACCAGTGAGGATGCTACTACTGTCATCCAGACCAAGGAATATGGCAGCACCGGCCAGGTGGTAACAGTGTAGGTGGCAGGAAGTGGCCAGAACCTGTACATGGTCTGAACATTGGTTCAACGGGATTTTCTGGCAGAATGCATTCATTTTGGGGTTGGTCCAAGTCAAAAAAAAAAAAAAAGTTAGTCACTAACAATCATATATATTCATATTAAAACAGTATCCAAAAAAACCCCCAATAACGATATTATTCTTCACCCATCGTGTTGACAAAAGTAGACACTGAGAAGCATATAGAGAAAGAAGTACTATTACACCATCACAGGAATGTAAATCGGGGTCGTCTTTCTAGAGAATGATTTACTGAGTCTGCCAACATGTTAAATCCCACACCCTTTCACCCCGTGCGCCATTTCCAGTTGCCTGCCCCACAGAAACATTCCCAGAGGTCCAAACATGCAAGAAAATGTTCACAAAAGGACAATCACTGCCACACTGTTTGTAAAAGCAACCAACTGAAATCAACCTACATGCTTATCGGTAAGTGATTGGCCACGTAAACTGTGAGCAGACACACCGCAGACTACCACACATGCTTTGAAATAATGAGGGAGATATGCACCTACATCTGTTAAGAAAAAGGCCTGGGAGGTGCCCTGAATTGTCTGTAGGGATTACTTACAGGAGGAGGTAGGTTGAGCAACGGAATTAGAGGAGAATTATGTCCTTTTTGTTCTAGGTCGTTCCACATTATTCCTTCCCTTACAGGTGTAGAAGAGCAAATCCATGCATGATTTGTGTATTATCAATGTACGCTTTTTTTTTCTTTTTTAAGATTTTATTTATTTATTTATTTGACAGAGAGAGAGAGAGAGAGAGAGAGAGAGAGAGCACGCGCACGCACAAGCAGGGGGAGCAGCAGAGGGAGAGGGAGAAGCAGGCCCCCCACCAAGCAGGGAGCTCGATGCGGGGCTCCATCCCAGGACCCTGGGACCATGACCTGAGCCGAAGGCAGACGCTTAACAACTGAGTCACCCAGGCGCCCCTCAATGTACACTTTTAAGCTTTGGCACAATAACCGTTAAGACCCCATCCTGAGTGCCCACAGTCTGTAATCACGGATCCTCTGGATGCAAACCCACCCCATCTGTACCATACCCTCTGCCAGAGGTCAGTATTTCAGGCCTTTCATAAAGCTAAATGCTTCAGGCTCCTTACTAACCTAGGCCCTTTTTAAATAAGTAGTCATTTTGTGTACCTAATACTCTATCTTAAATTCTGTATTTTCATCCTAAAGAGGAGCCTAAAATGTATAAGCCCCATAAACCTGCATCTGCCCTTACAGCTGCTCAGGCTGGTCTCGCGGCCCTGCTCGGGGGCAGGATGGTAACATCTCCCACGAAAGCCCTTTGTAGGCCTCCCAACAGGCTGAGCGGTGACAACAAGCACAGGCAGAAAGGGGAACTAAGAACCAATCCCCCCAAAACAAAGACCTGCCAATGGGTAGACATAACCTCAGTGAGACCCCAAAGTCCTTTTCCACAGTGTGCTGAGAAGCTTGGGAAATTTCATACGAGACACCATCAGCCTAGAGATCAGTCCAAGCCAGGAACACAAGTGAAATAGGGAGAAAGTCAAGACAGTCTCTAAAATGAGTCCCATAACTAAAGGAAACTATTCTTTAGAGTAGAGAATCTTTCAGCCACAGAAACCCAGAAAAACAGGGAGCCAGGAGAGAAGCAGGTCTGTCTCAGGAATGGGTTTTAATTCTCCGGTCCCCATGGCCGGCGCCCCTCGCAACAGAGATCAGGGAGAGAAACGCACGGAAGCCTTATGTCTCATTCAAATCTGCTAGCCTGCTCCCTGGCTCTGGGCCCACAGTCACCAGGCAACCGTTGGATTAAGGAGTTTGCCAGGTAGATTGCCCCACACAGACTAGGGTAAGCAGAGGACTCAGCTCTCTGGACCCTTCGACAGATGGGGTTCTCCCTATAAAATAACAAGCTGACATCCAGCATAGACAGCAGTGCTGGGAGCGTGGTTAATGTGAGTCTGCCCCAGAGAGAGGGATTTGGGATTTGTTGTCTGAGCCTGCACAGCTAGTCCAGCCCCCCGCACCGTAAGAATTTGCCCACTGCCCACATGAGGACTGCTATGTGACCTTTCACACAGCTGTCATCCAAATTAACTCTGTCCAAGCTGAGCTGGGCGCTCAGTGACATGCCGTAGCTGGGTGGTGCCACTGGGTCCACATCTGTGGGATTATCTACCATTGACTGGCCCTCCTAGAAGCCAGTGGGCAAGTCGGCAATGCAGTGTGACAAGCAGCCCAGATCTGAGGTCAAAGCCAACTGCTAGCTGGTGTGTGGCTACCCAGGCGAGGCTCCATGTCCTGATGGGTACCCGCAGATGGCGATCTCCTTTCCCTCCCCGTCCCTGCTAGAAACTGTCACAGGAAAGGCACGAGGCAGCCCCTGCCGGCTGTCATGTGTTTCTTATCTCCAACAGAAGGAGTCCTGAATACTGGGCAGGAAATCGCATCCCTGGGGCAGGGCTGTGTTCAAAGAGTGTCTCCATCCTCCATCCGTGGATCTTTGCATCTGTGGTCAGGAGATCCAGTGGGAAAACAAGAAAGAGAGGGGCCTGCTCAGGATTCTGGAGGGAGCATCTGCCTTCTGCGCTGAGCCGAGTAACGAGGACAGAAACAGCTGGAGAAGAACCGTGGAGGATGAGCTCAGAGCTGCGCCTGAGGAGCACGTTCATGGGATGGTGTCAGGGACAGGTCATGGCTGGGTCCCAGTTAAAAACCATGACAGACAGCTCACTGGACAGCAAGGAGATGCCATTCCCCACTAAGAAATGAGGACTTGGCTCCTTCTGTTCTCATAAGCAGGGGCATTTTTTTTTTCTCATTCAAAAGAAGCGAAATACAGAAAAATCAAAGAACAGATGCAGAAGCCATGACACACCAAGATGAGGAGGATTTGCATCTGCTCAAGGTGACGGCATCGGCAGGCCAGGCCCGAGCGGACCAGGATGCTGGGGTTACACGTCTCTAGAACAGGATGTGAGGGTGCTCCAGCTGCAGCATCTGTCACCCCACTGATGGCCACGGTTGACCGGGCTGACCTGGCTGGCTAGGCGGGTGTCCCCCACTTCCCCCACCGCTCCGGTGCCTCCCTCTGGAAGCTGCTCAGAGCAAGAGGTTGACTTCCCCCGAGAGAGGAGGACCCTTCTGGGGTCAAGGGTTTGGAGTAGGGGATTCCCCAGCTAGAACCTCCTGACAAGATTTCCAGGTCCATTTGTAGGAGAGCATAGGGCAGTCAAGCTTCCACGACTCCAGACACATCCAAATGAGGCGGGGCGGGCCCCTCGCACCAGGACTCATCCTGGCCGTCTCCACGGCACTAGAAGCCTGGAGTCCCATCTGCCCTGCATCCGGCCCTCCGCCCTGAC